GGGGGGGACACGCGCTTCCCGCCTTCGTCTGTGGGGGGACACGCGCTTCCCGCCCTCTCGTGAGGCAAGAGGGGGACACGCGCTTCCCGCCCGCCCTGTGGGACCTGAGGAGATGGAGGTGGCCGGGGCTAGAGCACTTGAACGTCCCCAGCGCCTCTTTCCGTGTCGCTTCTGCTGCAGTTTGAGGCTGGAGTCGACGCCGCGGGAGGAGCGGCAGAACAGGGAGAGAGAGGGGCGGCTGGAGAGGAATCGCTCACCCCAAGGCAGACTCGTGCTGGCCATGTCCCACCTGTGAAAACATAACTCCCACCCTCTAAGTAAGTGGGCGAGTGGGTCAGTGCTGTGGGCTGGGAGCCTGTCTGTTGGAAGAGAGAAGGAAAGGTGTTTTTTTTTTTTTTTTTTTTTTTTTTTTTTTTTTTTTTTTTTTTAATCATCACTCTTTTTTTCCCACCTACAATAGCCACTAGACCTATCTTTCTTGAAAGTAAATATTTGTATGTGAATCCTGTAGTTGTCTGCACTTTCTTTTTAATGAAGGAGGCTTAGTTAAATGGGAGTTGATGCTTGACACGTTACCTTTACTACTGTTGTTTTGCCCTGTAGCGCAATGTCCCTGTTGTTTACTCGTTCCAAGTCAATCGTTGCAGTGAAGAAGGATAAAAGACACATGGCTGAGGTAAATGCTTCTCCGCTTAAACATTTTGTCACTGCAAAGAAGAAAATCAATGGTATCTTTGAGCAGTTGGCTGCATACATCAATGAGAGCTCCTCATTCCTGGAAGGTAAGCTCTATTCTTGAACCACAGTCTATAAGAGTCGTGTGCCTGGTTCAATAATTCCCCATGAGCACATGCCAAAAAAAGATTCATTGAGTTAAACAGCACTAGACCTTTTCGTATTTTCACTTGCTACATTTGTATTTTTAGATTACAACATTTATATGAAGGAGAGAAAATCACTCTATTGTGTGAAGCTCAGGCTTTATGTTTTGAAGCTGCTTTAAGTTTATGCCCGTTATAGCAGTGTATATAAAGATGTTAGTTATGTTTTCTCTTTTTTTTTAAGTTGTTTTGGGCTTTTGAAGTGGAAAATGCAAAGTCCTTTAGGCTTTGTGTTCTATGATCCTTTGAGAGTCACTATTAGTGGCATGTAATGTGTTCCAGTAATTGGCTTTAACAGCTTAAGACTTAGACAGCAGGTTCTTTAAGGGTGCTGGAGTGTTTGAAATGTTACCTCCCTTCTGCTTAAGGTAGTCTTAAGCATGAGAATCCTTACTAGGAATGCAAGAGATTCCAGTTGATAAACGTTGGTGCAAATTGGTTCAGGGCAGGTTTCAGGGCTCCCCACAAAGCTATTTTGTTACATGTGTTAAATCTTGCAGAGGTGTTTCACCAGATACTAGTGTGATTATTTCTAGAGTTCTGAAGCATAGTTTTATTTTATTTTATTTTTTTTTTTAGAAACACACAGGATGGTGGAGCTTGACCCTGTCACCACAGAAGAGCAGGTATTGGAAGTCAAAGGTTACCTCTCAAAAGTCAGTGGCATTAGTGAAGTGCTGGCAAGGCGACACATGAAAGTGGCTTTTTTTGGCAGGTGAGTCACTTGTTCGTTTTGCCTACACTGCTCTACTCAGTAGAGCAACTGCTATCTCTAGGATTGCAGCCAATAGAATTATTTATAGAAACATAAGTGATCCAGCTTCCTAAATGCATCGTGTGGCTGAAATCCCTGGTACTAGTCCTGCTGCAAATTGAAAATAAATATTATAGAACACAACAGTCTAATTTGGAGAATTATTAAGAAAATTGAGTGGTCTTTTTGCAGGTTGCTTGGGGCAACTAATTTGTTAATACTTCTGGAACTGCTTAGGTTTTGAGAACTTCCTGTCTTTTGATACCAAAACAAGTCTATCCAAATCTCAGAAAATCAGATGTACTTTTCTTTATTCTGCCGTCAGGACAAGCAATGGAAAAAGCACCGTGATAAATGCCATGCTATGGGACAAAGTCCTTCCTTCGGGGATTGGACACACCACCAATTGCTTCCTGCGTGTAGAAGGAACAGATGGGCAAGAAGCCTTCCTGCTTACTGAAGGCTCAGAGGAGAAGAAAAGTGTTAAGGTATGCTTGGAAATGATCCTAAGCTGGAAAGTTCTGATGAGGAGTTAATTACCTTAACAGGTTTTAGCACATAGGAAATCTTTTAAATTGTCCGTCTCTTTCTCAAACAGACCGTAAACCAGTTGGCTCATGCCCTTCATCAAGATGAACTTCTGGATGCTGGCAGTTTAGTCAGTGTTATGTGGCCCAATTCCAAATGTCCTCTCTTAAAGGATGACCTAGTGCTGATGGACAGGTGAGAGTGTTTTCTTACATTTTCTCCTTATCACAGAGTTAGTATAGAAAAGTCTTCAAATACAAATTTAGCAAACGTAAGGAAATTGACTCTTCTATCCTTCTCCATAATTAAAAGAGTTTCTCTTTCAGTTTTTTTTTTTTGGTTGCATATTATTACGCCCCAGAACATAGTGTAGCTTACACTTGGAGAATTAATTTCCAAAGAACTGGAGCATTTATTTGTACTCGTTTGTGTTTAAATTGCTTCAGATCTTTTCAAACAAAAATAATGTTTTTTTTCTTCTTCTTGCTAGCCCTGGCATTGATGTAACCACTGAGCTGGACAGCTGGATTGACAAGTTCTGTTTAGATGCTGATGTATTTGTCCTGGTGGCAAATTCTGAATCTACGTTGATGCAGACCGTATGTTAAAGTCTCTTTGTTAACGTTCAGCAATGAATTTGGTTGAATGAATATGAATTTGGCTACAATTTTACACACTGACGTGTTTAAGAGATTTCGTTCCATTTTTTCTTAGGAGAAACAGTTCTTCCA